TGAGATTACAGTCATCGAGTTTATTATAACTAGACAGTAAATATGGGTTATATATGGGCAAGAGGAAACAATAGACACCAAAAGTTGAGTATGACCTTGAACTGACCAATCAGATAGCTCAGCATTACAAATGGATGCTGTTCATATAGTGTTCGTTGAAAGTCTCACCTAAATTTGGTTTTTGACTTCTGTGTGTGGAAAATGGATTGTGATAGGCAGGACTAAAACATGCACATGTGGTGGAGGGATAATGACTCTCTACAAGTATTTCCAGGCTACTGATGGTTATGCGTTCAGATCCAATATCGTTTTTATGAGCTAGTATAAACCAATTTGATTTCTTTGTGCTCACCTCTTCATTGTGAAGTATAGGTTCCTGATCTTCGGTAAACTTCTGCGTAGCTTGTCCCGCCACTCGACTGTCGTAGCTTTGGTTGACTCCAAAAGGGGAATAATTATGTGTGGTTTGTAGTAACCGGTGTGTTAAGCCTTTGTTGCTACTGTGAATGGAGTTGATCCTTTCACCAGTTAGTCCTCCGGTATCGTCGTCAAAAGAAAAGAGATAATAATAATAATTGATATAATTAGTGAAGCTATTCAGACTAACAGACAGAAAAAGAATGAGAAAACGTAACAACAGTCAGCTGATTAAATTTGAAGAATAATATGAACAATATATATATATATCGGTAATAATGATAATAATAGAAGTTGTAGTTAAAGTTGTCAGAAGAGTAAGGTGGGAGAGAATGTGAAGAAGTAAAACGACGAATTTAGTTGTCAACCCCTGAATGGTGTATGGGATTTTAAGGGGATAGGCCATTTGGATGCAGTCCTTGTGTCGCTGCATGATTGTCCAGCCTTCGCTTAAAGGCGTCCACAGACGGTGTCATAGCTACATCTGCCGGTAAGGAATTCCAGGGACGGCAAACCCGCAGTGAAAAGAAGTGGGAGTGCACCCGGGTCCTTGCCCTCTGATGAGCTATCCTTCTGGGATTTCCACGAGGGCGCCTATACCTACTCAATGGCAGAACACCTTTGTTTGGGGGATTCTGGTCATTTGTTATTTTGTAGGCAGTAATTAAATCCCCCCTAAGCCGACGGTAACTAAGTGTGAGTAGGGCTAATTTCTTTAGCCTGGTTTTTTTCGGAGACCAACCACTCCCTTTGTCGCCCGTCGTTGGACTCTTTCCAAGAGGTGGGCGTCTCTTCTAAGCGGTGGGGGTGCAATAACATTGTGCACTTCAAGGTGTGGTCTGACGTATGTTTTGTACAGCATTAGAAAGAGCTCAGGAGTGAGTGCACGTAACTATCTATGTGTAATGTGTATGACAGCATATGCCCTCTCTACGTCTCCCGTGTAATTTACGCTTGTGTCCATGCAACCACTGTTATATGAGGAAGTCTGTAAGAGTTGGTGAGCCGTACATTATAGTGATTTTTCAGACACTTCCTTCTCGAAATCGAAACTCTCCCTTAGTGACATATTGTGTGTGTCCTACAACTGGCTACTGAAGCGACCAATGTCTGCTACGGCTGCAGAAACAGAGAGGACATTGGTTTGATATGTCGACAGCCACTCCTATGCAAAAGTGGGACCAGTTTTTGCAGAATATTAGAGATATATACCCTGTATGATTCATTTTAATTACAAATATATAATGAATGCACTTTTTTGTAAATTAAGTAACGCTTTTCACCTAGAAGAATCTGATTGGGTGTTTCAGGGTCACTCAAAGCTGGTGTCTATTATTTACTGTTGCTGGGTTATATTCCCTTTACCCATCCCCTCTTTTTCGGAGTTTCGCTTTGGGTGACTCTAAACTATAACAGCTCAAATCGAAACTACCTAACGGATCAATGACCTTGAACAACCCGCCAGATGAGTTCTATGTGTATAGGCAGAATTATGGGTGCTGCACACGAATTATGTAGCAAATTTTATCTAAATCCAGTATCTAGGTAATGCTTAGACAATAGGCTGGCTCACTAGAAGGTAGAAAACTTGTAACTGACAGTCAACTTTGGGCTATATTCAGAACAGGGTCAGCCGTATGGTCAATTTCGTTAATCATTTCAATGGGACTCACAAACTTCCATCGAAACTTCCTAGATTTACCTAAAAAAGAGGATAAGGGCGGTGAATGAGTTAAGGAACACAATAATTCACAGCTGTCTAGATGAATTTATGCGCAGAAATTAGTTTAACCTAGCTACGAGAACTCCTATGAGAAACCGGAAGCTTTTCTCTGGGCATGTGGAAGGAATTTATTTTTTATAACTACTTTTTAACGGCATATAGCGTAAATATAAACGTCTTTTTCAAATTACGCACTTCTGCTTCTGACTGGTGGGTAGAGATTTGTCAAGGTCTTTATTATGTAGTTTAGAGGCTGAGGGCTGCTGCAGTTTGAAGTCACCTCGCTTTGTGCTGAAGTGAAACAAAATGCAAGATTTAGATGCAGGCAAAGTCAAGGTCATTAGTTCTTTATTTCAATTCGAATTGTTTCAAACACTCCGTTGGGATAAAAGTAGTTCCAGAATGCCTTCACGCATAGTACAGTGAACTATACAACGGGTATCCCAGCTGTATAAAACAACAGTATGACAACATTAACATTCGAAATGATCACAGTTTTCAAAGAAGTTGAACTTTAGGCATACGCCTTATGATATCATTAGGTACCAACGGATAAATTACCTTGAACACACCAGTCACATGAAAAAGGCCATAAAGTAGATACTTTTATTAAAATAATGTATGGAAAATGTGACAAGAATGTTACGCGGGATATCTTTCTCAGATATGTGACAAAAATGCTTCCCATTTTTCCGTAGGATTATTAATAGAGAAGTTAAACCACATTCTATACATAAATTTATCTAAGTAGCTGTAAATAATATGACTTTCTGAAGATGATTCCTATTACTATGCCGCAGTATATCCACGTTTTCACGTTCTAATATGTGCTAACGCTGTACACGGTCAACGACGAACAACGTTGTATTAAGAAGCACGAGTGAAAACTTAAAAAGATATATTGTTAACGAAATCGAATTTTCAAAATGCGTGAGGTGTACGAAAAAGTGCATAACCCTGTAAAATATATGTATAACAAATGAAAAACCATATTCAATAATACAATGGCAAATATTCAACAAGCATAAGTAAAATTAGTTTCTGTAAGCTTATAAGATGCGTAAATGAATTAGTTTTGTAAGCGTACAGTTAGGCTTAATATTGAGAGGCTACAATAACACCCCTCTGAGATCCTTCAATGATTCTAATCCTATTCTACAATCTTCCGCAAAATCCTTCAGTAGAACTGGTATGGGTGCTTGTAGTGGGATCCACAAAATCACTAGAATGGATGACTTTGGTCAATGTGCCCAAGGGACGATAAAAAGTTATAACCCTCACATTCATCTGTGGATATTGTAGATCCTGGTTTCACCAGTCTGGCAATAATGAAATAAGAGAGTAGATTTTCTGTCTGGTATTATCTCGACGAATCATTTCCGTAAAGTGGTACTGTACAATCCAATCACCCAAACGCTATTTGCTTTTTCGCAAGCTTGGTTGCATCTCTTCTTTATTAGGACTGTTTCATCTACACGTACAACAAAACCTCCCTCCCCCCAGTAAAGAGGTCACCTTGTCGATGTTCCGAAATGCAGTATCTCTTCAGTGCTGGCACCACTGAGTGGTTGAGATTAGACTGTTTTTCGCCGTAGCAGCTGTAGCTCTAATAGTGTTTAAAAACCCACTTATTACAAATACAACGGCCGACGTGTCCACCAACAGATTTACTGAAGCCTTTTATGGCCAACTTTACGCACCAATAAGTACCAGTAGAGTGCGACCGCACCAATGACCTGGAAGCGCTCAGTGAGCAAGTTAGGGAAACCTGCTAAATGATGTTGTAATCATGAATAAAATGTGCTTACTGAAGTGCTATGTTATTAAATGGGATATCTGGTAAGTTTCAGGTTAGACATGAGAAAAAATAAGTTAAGCCTTATCCCAAGGGCAGGTTACGGTTAGGTTAACCTAATGGGGACAATATTAGGTTTAGTTCGAGTTAGTTTGGGGTTAGTGAAGGGATATTTTTATGTTAGGGGTAACTCTAAACTATAGTAGCCCAAACCGAAACTACCTAGCGAACGGATAAATGACCTTGACAACGACAACTTCGACCAATCAGAAGCGTCTATAGTAACGGCGCGTAATTTGAATGAAACGTTTATATATAAGTAATCCAATGTTAAAAAATAGTTACAAAGGATAACGTTTCCGTATATTTTCCAGAAAAACCTCCAAATTTCTCATAGGAGTCTTGATACTTATTTTAAACCAAGTCCTGTACATAAACTCATCGAGATAACTGTATGTCATAGCATTTCTTGATCCATTCACAGATCTGATCCTTTTTTTGAGGTGACTCCAAAATTTTTCGATGGAATTAGTGTGAGTTCCATCGAAAGGATTGATGAAATCATTT